GAATAGCAGCTGGCGGGGCGTGGGTGCTGCTGGTCAGGACTGAGGTGTGTTAATGTGTGTGGAGTACTAGGGCTGGAATAGCAGATGGTTTGGCCCATCAGTGTTAACATGCCCTGATGGTGAGTGCCACAGAAAACCCTGAGAGAGGGTGCTCGTAAACCAGCCTGCCTGCTAGAGGAAAAGAGAGAGCTGTGGAAAAAGCTAGGGACAGGCTCTCCAGGGGTTATAAACAATAGAGACTGGAGAAACAATGCAAAAGTGATTCAGATCCCTTGCCAATGCCCTGTTTATACTGAGCCAAGGGGGCCTCATATAGCACAGGGACTGCGGCTTCCCTCTGTGCAGGTTGGGGTCAAGCTCCAGAGAAGAGATCTGACAATCCATGAGCTGACTGCTGTGCAGTCCGTTTGTCCAGGGGTTTTTGGATAGTCCGTTTGGGATACCCACAGGCTGTGGCAACACAAGGCAGGGTTATTTGTGAGATTAGGCTCCATGAGATGTGAATATACTGTAATTACAGAGATGATGAACAAGGACTTCAAAGTGAGGGGCAGTGGGGCTGGGCTGGGTTTTCTTTAGAACTCTCCCATCCATGTACTGACTGACCACCCTTCTGGATAGAAGGTGGTGCTGCAGGGCTGACCTCCTCCACTCTGCCCTACAGCCCTTCTCTGCCTATTGGTGAGGGCAATAGCTATATGTTGTCTAATTAGCACCTTGAGAAGCCAGCTGGCTTAAGTAAATTACCCTTCAGGCAGAGATAGGGTGGAGAAACCATCAGAACTAGGAAGAGAGGAGGAAACCGTCCTTTTCTGTCTCTCTCTGCTGTAGGCCTCCTGAGGCTATATCGCCTCTGTCTTTTTGCCCTTTTTGTTCTCCCTCAGGGATTTCTCCTAACTGCACCAGGAACAGAAGGTGTGGTGCTAGGGCATTCTAAATCCAGAAGCTCTTGCCCCTTTTCAAAGCAGCAGCCCAGCTCTCTGAATGCTCCCTCTGTCCCTTCCACCTGCAGGAGGCTGGGATATGTTAGGGCACATTTCAAGGAAGGGTGTATGTCAGAGAATGTCTCCCCTCCTCAGCAGAAAGCTCCTGGCCTAAGGCAGCCTTCCCTTGGTCCACAGTTGCAATATCACCTGTTTCCAAGACAGCAGAATGGGAGGGATTTTAGAGAAGGTAGAGGGGTGAATAATACTTTCTATGAAAATACTAACCCTCTGCCCTTCTCAAAGTATTTTATTTAAAAAAAAAAAAGAATTAGGACTCACCATATGTCTGTAAAGTAGATAAGGGATGTATAGGGTTTGCTGCAGCCACCTCTGGGCTGGAACACAGCAGCTATCTAACAGCACACTACATTTTAGGACCAAAAGTGTAGAAATCTCTCAACTACAGCCGCCAAGGAATTCTAGGTAGGCTGAATGGACTAGGTCACCGGGGTACTTACTGTAATGCCACAGCATCTTTATTGACTTGGACCTTAGTTTCATGTCCTACCTTTTTTCCTTCTGAGTTGGGAATGCCAGCTGAGTCGAGACCATCCTTACCCACAGGGTTTTCTTTAGAACTCTCCCATCCATGTACTGACTGACCACCCTTCATCTACTTAGCTTGGGAGTACTGATAGAATTGCAACACACAGCTGGAGACCACACCAGAACTCCTGTAAGGATATAATGTACTCTGGGCTTCTGGGGCAGACACCTTGAAGATCCATCAGCAGTTGATTGCTCCCTTGCATTTGATGGGGGGGAACAGGTCACAGATCATCACAGTAGTCCCTTCAGGCCTTATAATCTATGAATCAAAAAATTCAAACTGGACATAGCTCTTTTACCCAAGCCACTGTCACTCATTCATTCCTTCCCTCCCTAACAGGGAGCCTGTTTAAAAGCTAATTTCAGTAAAATCTGGGATTAAATCTTCAAATACCTTTAAGTATTTATCACTGTTAAACTTGGATTTGGATTCCTTCTTGGTCACCTCACTCCAAGGCCCAGGAGAACAGGGAGCAGTGTGGAGGGCAAAGATCCAGCTTTTGGGGCAGAAGGGGCTGGCTCTGGAGGGACAGGTTTTCCCTTTACACAGTGCTGTCTAGCTCCCCACATGGGAGATCTACAGAGCAATGGTGAAAGACTCGAGGGGGAACAGCACTGAACCCCCATGCAGGAAAGAGGGCCTAGAGGAACAATGCAGAATACAAGACCTGAGAGAATTATTGCAGCATCCTTAATTTGCAGCAAGGGAGATTTTGGTTAGACATTAGGAAAAACTTCCTACGTGTAAGGGGTAGTTAAGCAGTGGAACAAATTACCTGGGGAGGTTGTGGAATCTCTGTCACTGGAGGTTTAAGAACAGGCTCGACAAACACCTATCAGGGATGGTCTACATAATACTTAGTCATGCCTCAGTGCAGGTGACTAGACTAAATGACCTATCAAGGTCCCTTCCAGTCCTACAGTTCTGTGATTTCTATGATGGATCACAACTGATCTGCAGTGGCTGGTGATGGGTTGGCCTAGAGAGGAAAGGGGCATTTGTCAGTCCTGTTGTTTTATAAATATGTAGCAAGGTTTCTATTCCCCTGACTTTAAGAAGTAGACAAATGACTGCACAGAAACACATATCCAATCAGTCAGTATTGTAAATGAATAGAACTCTCTGCCTTCTGGGGCTTTCAGTATGTGTGTGCAGACAGTGTGGCACCAACCTTGAGCACTTTGGTATGGTACTGCCCAGCAAATTGTCTGCAGCCCACACTTGGGTGGCTTCCACTGCTGGCTTGTTGTCTGGAACACAGGAAACTGCACACAATAGGGTCTCAGGGTGCAACTTGTGAGCAATGCCTGCAGAAGGGAGAGACCTAGAAAGTGGGACAGGAGCTGGGGTGCGTGTAAGGTGCACGGGACATGTTTTCCATCTACAGAAGCAGGCCAGTGAGGGGAGAGAGAATATGTTTAAGGGGGACGCAGGCAATTCTCTCTCTCTATTACACACGCACGTCTGTATTCCTTTCTTAAGGGAAAGCATGTGACTAGTCACGGAATCTAAAGGCTGACAGGAAATAACATGCTTTTATAGAATCTATCTTTGCAAAGACAGTCTGGGTGCTGGTGCTAGATGAGGCCGTCGACAGGGAAAGGAACAAACTGGAGGGAGGCTCTGGAGGGCAGGAACTTGCCTTTGGGTGCTAGTATGTTAGAATTAACAGGCCAGGCAGCTGGGCTCACTGTTCCAGCTGAAACAGGCCCAATGTTGATTCTGGGCAAGTTGGAGAGCCTGGATTGAGCTGTGGGTGGGCCTGGGCCCCCTGCATGACCCCCCTGCAGCCTAGGCAAGCTGAGTTAAGTGTTTGAACCAAAACAATGGCACCACAAGAGTAGAATGGAACCAGGGTGTGTGGGGGTGCCCCATCCGTTCACACCCCAACCTCCTCGCCCACCCCTTCCATGGGCACTCGCCCTCCTCCCCCGCTGGGGCCCTGCATACATGCTAACGGGGCAGCAGGGGAAGCAGAAAAGTTTAAGGGGGCCAGGATAGGAGCTGGAACATAGCTTGGGCTGAGTTTAGTCCCCTATTGGCCAGTGGGGGGAGGAGGAGGGGCTGCCCCAAGGGAACAGGAGTACTTGTGGCACCTTAGAGACTAACAAATTTATTAGAGCATAAGCTTTCGTGGGCTACAACATCCGAAGAAGTGGGTTGTAGCCCACGAAAGCTTATGCTCTAATAA